CCGTGACTTGACTTCACAGATGTTCCAAATCCAACAATACAACACAGTCATGCGGATATGGCACCCATACATTCAACGCTGACGACTTACCTACACCACCCCCAAACGTCGATGTTAAGATTTTTAATAAGTAAACGTATTCCTTTAATATTTCTAATTACATACATTTCAAAGTTTACTTAATATGAGTTTCTGTGGTCTTTAGGAATAATAAAGGCTTCCAACATATTTCTAACTCTAACACTCGAGAATTTTATTCCAATTAAAATAAAACCACAGCGCCACATAAGCATTTATAGAAGTCAAAAAACTACATTCTTCTGGCAATATTCTTACTACTGAGAAAAATGTTATCAAGAATAAAATGTATATATACAAAGGAATACAAAGCATCCTATTTACAATAGAGGGCAAAAAACAAAGTAATCATGCTATGGCAGAGAAAACCAGACCCATTAACCGTATTTTAAATGCTATAAAAAGAAATAAGAGTTTGGTACATTAAGCAACCAAGAGACCAAAAAATAGTCTAGGCTTCCATTATAAATATAGGTAAAATACAAAAAGGCTGATGGTTTGGGTGATTTCTTTTTTTTTCCTTCTTGAAAAATTCTGAAATTACGGGTGCCTATTTTTAAATTAAAAATGGAAAACATAAAGCTATTTCCATTTCAGCTAACCCTAACATATAAAGAGAATAACACATGTTGCTAAACTTAACTCAGAAGTGCCATTAGCTACATCACATGTGGCTGCGAGTGTTAAGATAGAAATACTGAGTCTATTTGCATTGTTAGAAAGCTTGCTAAATCTAAAACATGCACTTAGGAACCACAAGATGCTATGCTGCTGATCTGAGGGATCTCATGTCATGTCGGTTTTAATTATATAACCTCCCCATATTTCTGGAACTGAAACAGCTATTTTTGTCTGATTAAACTTCTGAAGCCCAGAACTGGTGGGCAGAGAATACCAAGCTTGTCCAACCTGCAGCCCACTAGCCATATGCTAACTATGAATGCAGTCCAAAAAAAAAAAAAACCATAAATTTACTTAAAACATCTTTAAGGTTTCTTTTCTGTTTTTTTTTTCTTTTTTTTTTTCAACTGCATTGCACATGAACTGTGTGGATGACCAAGTTGTGTTGCTTGTTAAATGCTGACCACTTTGAAAATTACTCCAAATGGGAGGTTAGAGGGGAAGGCTCTTCATAGACCAAACATTTACAGCTGGACCCAGGAAGACCAGAATAAATGGCAAAGATGGAGAAAATCTACAGATCTGTAGGAACAGGATAGGTGGTAGGGAAAAGGTATACTATAGTATGAGATCACTGGCCTATACATGAATTAACAGCAAAATAATCCTTACTCACTGAATACAGAACTCCCCATGCTCCTGGGGAGTTCATCTAGGAGTTGCTTCCTTTTGTTCATTAGCTAAGAGCTGCCCATATATTTGAGTTAAGAACTTTTTATCTAAAGTATCAAAGTATGGAAGGCTCTAACCCAATTACTGAATGTTACCTGATGGTAAAATAAACCACAGTTCCACCTAGAATTGCTGAGGACAAAATAGAAAGAGGAGCTCTCAGGTGCCCATCTTAGCTAGTGGATGACATAGCTATTGCCCAGCACCTAGAAGGTAAAGGCCGGTCAGTAATCAGATCACTCTCGGCTACAAAGCCAGCTCAAGGCCAGTCTGGGCTACCTGAGTCCCAGTCTCAAAACCCAACCAACCGAACAAAAGAAGCCCTTCAGTCATCTCCATTATCACACCAGAGACACCATTAATCTCCAGGATCAGCCTGCAAAGAGGATAAATCTGGGGTGTGCAGAGGGCTGAGGTTAGGAGGAAATTCACTGTGTAAACAGTGCGCAAATATTAACAGAGAAAGGACCCTGTACCCCTGCTTCAGGTATGTTTACTTCCCATTTTCTCCACAATGAAGTTGGGAGAGATAAAAACTAAACAAAACAAGGAGGAAATAAAGGGGGTGGGGGACCCCACAAGGATTTCTAAAGACAAAGGAAGACTACCAAGGTATTAGTAGTTTAAGAATTAAAACATGCTCACACACAAATGCTTGTTACCTCTGAATTAACATGCAGAATGGGGCTTAATACCAACCAATCAGCACATTTTGTTCCTCGGTAAAGCCCAGCAAGAGCCACATTATTATCAGATGGAAGCACATTAAAGAACAAGACTCCTTGATTGATCACAGATTTTCAGTTATGCTAAGTCAGGCTGCACCAGGAGCAAAAAAGCCCCCAACCGAGCTTTAGCGCAAGCTTTTCGGGCGCTCTGTTCTCGAGGACGTCAAGAGTTCGTGGCTCTTCCTGCTCTCCCACACACCTCCTCCCTACATTCCTGCTGCCCGTCACCCTCATCTGGAAACACTGTCTCTTCAGACTAGCGACAAAACGTTCACCTCAGCTTTAGTTTTCTTTCCGAAGCATCTTTTCCTGCCTTTATTCGCTATCAGCTCCTTCACGCTAATAACCCTAGCTGTACTTGTGAATCAAGACAACTTTCCAAAGGCTATCAGCTGACTACAACTCGTTTCATCCACACTAAACGTGAGTGATATTCAAAAAGCCGCAAATAGGGCTCATGAATAAATGCAGAAGCATATTGCTACAGATTAACTTTCTCAGAAGCGCGACACCACCTCTCACTGCCATCCAGTACAGTAAGACAGACCACGGTAACATCAACAAAAAATAACAAAACCAAAACCCCAAACTGCTGTAAGAAACCTAGTAGAGTAAATGACAAAAATCCCAAGACTTAGCTAGCCTATTTACGAAGAGCTCCAGGTAAATTCTAGAAATCCCTCTGGTATACGCAAACAAAGCTTACACCCTAGATAGTTAATTAGATTTTCAGATGGTCAGGATCTCATAGCCAAGCACTGTACCTCACATCTATAATCCCAGGATTAGGGGGCCTGGCGTAGAATTACCAAGAGTTCAAGGCCAGGCTGTGTGAAATAGTGGGCTCCTGATCATCTTTGGCTAGAGCGTAGTCTTGAAAAGAGTTCTCCTAGTTAGGTGTGAGCCTTTGGATGGGAAATGTCTCCCACAGGCTCAAGTACTTGAATACTTGACTTCCTGCTGACTATTTGTGGAGGGTAACCTTTAAGAGGTAGACCCTTGCCAGAGGAAGTATGTCACAGGGGCCAGACTTGGAAAGTTTATAACATCAGCCCCTGACAGTTAGCTCCCTCTGCTTCCTGCAGTGTAAATGAAGCATAGTATCTTCTTAGCCTTGCTGCTCCAACCGCCTGCCACCAAGCCTTCTTCACCATTACGGACCCGCCCTCTGGAACTGTAAACTAAAAGTAAAAACTCTTCCACAGTCAGTTTCGGGTGTGCTGCCTTATCACAGTAACAAAAAGCAACCAATGCACAGGCAGGGTAGTAACCGGCTCTGAAGCCCGCACTGGGGGGAGGGGGACAGGACTGGGGAGACTGGGGCAGAAGATCGACAGGAGTTCAAGGTCAACACAGTGAGTTCCAGCCTGAGCACACAGGGGCCATCTTGTCTCAAAAACAAATGACAATCAAAACAAAAGACACAAAACCCTCTCTCCTAGATAAAATGTGCCCACTAAAGGTAACTAGACAAAACTAGTCCAAGTAGTTGACAAAAGACTGTCTCATGCCTAGTTTAATTTAAAAAATAAAACATTTAACCCAGCACTTTAATGTTTCTCATATTAATGCCAGATATACTGTATTTTTGGAAAACACGGTTCATAAATTGTGTTAATGAAAATTCTTAAAAGCACAGTATCTGATTAAATGAGGCACATCATATATGCTATTAACAACTCTCTTCCATTAATTGATCTAAATTATTGATCCATTCATTAGATTAAGTTATTTGGTCTGGTTAATTCTCATTTAATCTTTTAGGTCTCAGCTATTCCTCCCTCTGGAGACCTCCCCCAAATACACAGCACATGCCCTAGTTATACAACTCCTACTGGCAAAATGCACATCCATGAGCAAAGCATTTAAACATATTGTGTCATATGTGAAGGACTCTGGCCAGCCAAGGCCTGGCAAACATGGCAGGGAAGGCCTTGTCCCTCTCCCCCACTCCCTCTGCCTTGCTAAAACCCTTTAGATTCAGGCTAGCCTGGATAAGGTCTATTTCCTTATTTGGCCAATTCCTCCTCCTAAGGCTGACTACCAAAGATCAGCTATCAAGAGACCCCTTTGGCTCACCTAATTAAGACGCCCAATTAAAATTAAACACCTCGTCGTAACACGGGATTCCCCCCTTTACCTCTATAAACTGCCATTTTCCATGTGCCACGTCTGTCGCCGCTCTATTCCCACCCCCACCCCCCCCACCTCTGGTCTCCTATCTCCCTCACCACTACATCCTAGCCCATCTTAACACAAACCTCCCCTTTTCCTCCTCTTAAAAGTCACACCTGCAAGGTCATTTGTGGCTGTTTCTGCCTGAGTCAGGAAGCAGCCACTTTTCTTTCCCGCTTAATAGAGAATCTCTCTGTGAAAACAGGTGTTTGGGTTTGTTTTGTGCTTAATCTGGGGTCTGAGAGGGAGCCTCCCGCTGTACAGAAGTCTCCTTCAATACGCTTATAAGCTTGCCTGCCAGTGATGGACATAAATAGACATTAAAATAATTTGCTGAAGAATGAGGTCACAAGTAAAGTCAGAAGAGCCTCAAAGTGGTAGAGAATCAACCCAGAGATTAGGCTGCAGCAGTAAACAGGGGTGGGGGGTTAAGGAGTGCCATCAATGGGAGAACTCCATCCAAAGTACACTTCCGTGTGAAGGAAAAGGGCAATGCAAAAACTCCTCAGAGTTGTAAGCCAACCAGCCAAGACAGCAGAGCTGTATGCTCATTCACACGGACCTACTCACTCCGACAAAGCCGATGACTGGCTTACAACTTAGAACAATTACAAAGCACGAGTAGACATCTTAGTTTACTTGATTCATAAACAGGGCAAGTCTCACCTGTCATAGGGTCAAACAGCTGATTAGCTTCTAGGTCCGTGAAAGTACTGCAACAGACAGGACATTTGAAGGAGGCCCGATTGGTGGAATTTCTCTCATCCGTCTCAATCCTCCTCCTCATGTGGTCCAGTTTGTACTTGACGACATTAACAAGAGTGCGGTAGTTGATGAAGTAGTAGTTATGGCGCGTGGTTTTCCCGTCTGCGGCCGTCTCTACCCTCATTCTGCACTTGATGAACTTGTCTCCCTTCAAGTTATTCAAAACAGACCGAAGCTGCTTCCGATCGAACTTGAGCAGCTCCAGCATGTCCTCTTCTTTCACACAGGGGTTGCGGATCAAGATGTCCAAGGCCAACACGTGCTCAATGCCGTAGAAGCCCCGGATGACATACTTGGCTAGCCGTTTCAATGCTGCTGGAACCTCGGTGAGGACATCTGGGTCTGCCATCTTCAACAGCAAGCTTCAACTTCAACTATATGGGTTGGGGATGGAGATTAGTAGGCATGATGACATGATAATCATTTTAATCTAATCTACAACCACCTCGAGACAGGGTTTCTCTGTGGCTTTGGAGCCTGTCCTGGAACTAGCTCTTGTAGACCAGGCTGGTCTCGAACTCACAGAGATCCGCCTGCCTCTGCCTCCCGAGTGCTGGGATTAAAGGCGTGGGCCACCACCGCCAGGCTGTCATTATTCTTAAAGCACCACAGAAGCATTCAAACATTGTTTTAAAAGATTTCTCACACTTCAGTACTTAACAGAAAGCCAGGGTCTTCGTCTATAGCACACAAAAGACCACACCTAAAAAGCTTGACATAATCCTTAAACAGTTACTTTTATGATCAACAGTGTGCTGGAGTCCAAAACACTATATTATTTCTGATAATGACATATTATATCAACACCACTTTATTTCATGAAGAGAAACAAGAACAAACAAAAACCTCTGAGAGGGTTCGCTATCCTTAATGGCATGCTCTCTAGGAATGGCTAGAAATCAAGAGATTCCCAACAATTACCCTAGACTTCACTTCTTTTCAGCAAAATTTTCCTGCTAAGATTCAAGAATGTTTACATAGTAACACTTCCACGATGAAGTCACGCAGTAAGAACAGAATAAACACATAAGTGACTTGCCAGAGATGACAACATTAAGGACTATCATAACTGAAGGAAATTATTGTTAAGATCCAAAGTGCTTTACCAGCTTTGGAAGTTAAATCTAATTATTAAGTGAACACCTTCTAAACCTTAAAAAAACAGGAAGAAACAGAAGGGTGGGACCCCTTTAATACTCGGTCCCTTGAAGAGCAAAGCAGATTCTGACAGTATCTATCTTCTAGGCCACAGCTCGGAAAGTTGTCCCCTCCAAGTCTCTGACATGACAGCGCTTGAGCTGTGGACTCATGTCAGAGGCTACATTCCGGCTGCTGTCTGAGCCTGATGGAAGGCTCACACAGGCTCAAGCCATGCTTCTCTCAGAAGGAAACGGGTGCTGTGATGAATGAGGACATTAAGTGGAGCCTAAGAGGATGTGTTAACTAGGGCTGCTTCCACGTAACTCTGATAGGGCCAGACTGAACTAGCCAGGCTCTCTACAGACTACAGCTGGCATTTCTGATTATACAGAAAAACCTTTAATAGACACCCCGCTGAACCATTTCTATGAGCATCACGTTGTTAACACCAGTTTTCAACTGAACCTTTAATTTGAACTCTGAAGTAACTGACCCTACTGGATAAAATGCTTCTTTCTGTAAGAAATAATATCTGCGGTACTATACTATAAAATCCTAAATAACCAACACATACACCTTTTATGGGGAGGGGTGGTTAAGGTCATACCTACAATAAAGGAAAAATTAGATTACAATGTCTACTTTAATCCACAGTACTGAGGCATAACCATACACACTGGAGATAACAAAGTAGTGCCTAGCCTCACTAGGTTCAAACCTGCAATCCCAGAGCATCGACGTCACCCTAGATGTTTAGGAATGTCTGGATTCATTACCAAATCAGAACCACAGCACAGTATCGATACATTTTGATCACCTTTCCAATTCTATCTACACGGTGTACTTAAAACCAGATTTTGCTTTTTCTTTTACATGCCCAGTCACTGACAGAACAGAACAGATGACTTCAGAAACATCCCAAGGCCAGATGAGGCCATCGCGCTATCATTTTCTGTATTGCCTTCCACTGCTTTGCTCTCATGTCCCCATCCTCACACGCCCTAAGATTCGGAGTATTCGTTCTCAACTCTGAAAGCAGAATCAGTTAGACAGCATTTTAAGCATACTAACTATCCCTGGGCCCCATTCCCAGGAGCCTTGCTTCAGCTAATATAAAAGAGCCAGATTAGGAATGCCCCTAATTATAAAATCCCTTTAGATCACTCTAATAAGCAACAAAGTCCCTGATCATTACTCCAATTTGTCCCATGGCTAGTTTGCATCCTGCAAAAGAACACCCTGCATGAAGAGGTCCCTGCACTACTCGCTGTTCGGCCTGGTTCCTCTGTGTGATGGACCTCTGCCGGCTTGAACATCAGTGCAAAGGGGTGACTCACATCAAGGCTTTTCTGGTCAACAGTTTGAAGCTTGGAAATCCCAGGCCAACTTCTTACTGTTGGCCCTGGAAAACCCAGAGCCTTGGTTTCCTCACATATGTAATTAAAGTGCCTTTCTCACACAGTTAATGTATGAATTAAATCAGACCTAACATGTTCTGCTTCTGAGCTGAACGAAATCAGACCTAACATGTTCTGCTTCTGGGCTGGTATATGGGTTCAAATGAACAGAACAACTCCCCCATCTAACTTCTTCCTACGCCAGTGAACTGGTGAGATGTGCTGGTGGCACTGTGGCTGTATCAAGTGCTGTAGTAAGAAAACCTAAACCGAGGAAGAAACGGAAGAATTGCAAGGACAAGATTAATGAAACACAATCAAAAGGAGCCAACAATATACTAAGGAAAAAAAAATCCCAAGTAGCCATTTCAAGCCATTGTAAGGAGGGGAGCGCATGAGAAAGAGGTAACCTCACGTTCAGAAGCCTACTCGGGTGAAATACATGCTACTCCTCTGACGACACATAAGGGAGCTGAACTATGAAACTGGAACTCAAGTGGCCTAGCTAGTCCAAAACTCTCAAATTTTAAATCTTCCTGCCTGACCAGGGCCTTCACTCCTTCCCCAATCAAGACGAATCTAGCTCTGAAACTGGCAGCCATTTTGGAATGTTTAGAACATTTTATGAAGCAGTTGTCCACATGTAACATAAAAATGCATATAAACTTCAACATCCAACAACTTTTGAAAACTGGAAATAAGTGGGGGAAAAAAAGTGAGCCCACATTTTGAGATTAGTTTCTACAGCAGCTGACACCTAAGAAAGGAACTTCTCTGCTCTATGGAGCCTTCTCAGTGTAATGCTCTTATTTTATCTCCCTCTTCACAGTAAACAGGCATTTCCCAACTTCACCCTACCCAGTCTAGACCTATATTCTAATTGTACAAACAAATGCCAGGCGGTAGTGATGAACGCCTTTAATCCCAGCACTTGGGAGGCAGAGGCAGAAGCAGGCTGATCTCTGTGAGTTCAAGGCCAGCCTGCTCTACAAGAGCTAATTCCAGGATAGGCTCCAAAGCTACAGAAAAACCAAAATAACAACATCAACAACAATTAAGGACTACTGTGGAGAAACAAAGCTGAAATCCCTCTGTTTTTGCCATAGTTAACCTCACATCCACACACCGGTTCCCTCAGCCCTCAACGATAAGCCCAAAGCTTTCTCCTAAAGGTCTTTAGGCTTTGGGTCATGTTATCTGGTCCTCCCAAACGTAACATCTAATGCTCTCCTTCGCATTTCCTCATAATTTGTAAAGTTTCTACCTACATCTCTAGGACCAGAAACTTCATCTTGTTCACTCACGCTAGCACCTAGCATAAACTACTCAAGTATTTAAATCAAATTTTCAAGACATCTTCCGGGCACGTATCCTGCCAGCTGCCACAAAATTCACTTGTTTCACACCTGCATCCACAATAATGACAACGATAAGCCATCCTTTTCTTTTTAAAACCTGTCACCGCTTTAAGCAAGGAGTTAAGAAGTTAAATTTGTGACTTTTGGAAAAAAAAGACTACGCTGGATGAAGAGTGGCAGATAAAAGAACAAAGTGGGTGCAGGACGCCTGGTTTGTTAAGACTATTTCAAAATACTACTTCCCAAGTTCTAGAACTTGGATTCGACGAGGCCTCTACGGTTTTTGTTACTGTAGTTCACGAACTCTCCATCCCTTCGTCCTGTGAGGGGCCCGTGCGGACCCAGGTGCCCTCCTCCAGCTGAGCTGCGCTCAGGAGCGTCCAGACTCTGACACCCCACCGGGGGGTCCTGGACCACAGCCGACGCCGCCGAGCCCGTCCTACCCGAGGTCGCACATGGGCCGCTCCCGGGCAATGGTTCTTTGGAAGATTAAGAAGAGGACCAAGACAAGAGGTGGTCGAGGAGGGGGGACTAGAGAAGGCGGGGACGGACAGGAGAAAACCATGAAATACCACGCCAGGTCGGAAACCGGGAACAAGGATCGGGGAATAAGGTTTACCCAAGCGGATGCTCCAACACTCCCACTACAGCCGCCCTCGGCACCTCAACTACCGGCTTCAGCCAGCCCACGCCACTTGCGAGACAAGGACAAACGCCTAATTCCTGCGACCAGTTTGGAAACCACCCGTTAATCCGCACGGAGAAGCTTTCACTCAAACCACTCATGCCCTGACCGACCAATGAGATGGTAGGCCCTGCCCTCAAACCCTGATCTGATTGGCTGGGAATCCAGGAATGGGCGTTAACCTCAAGGAAATCGTGGCAAGATGGCGTCCCTGGATCGAGTGAAGGTTCTGGTGTTGGGAGACTCAGGTGAGCCGCTTAGCCCACGTCTGGAACTCCCGACACGCCCGAGCTACTGGATACTCCCCAGTCTTCACTGCTTTACCCTCAACTTCCTAGCGTTTGGGTTCATGGCTGAAGTCCTTCCCAAGACCTTAAAACTACACTTCCCAGAGGACTTTGCTCCTTCTGACGACGTGGCAGCGTGTCGGGAGGTGGGGGGCGCGGAGCCCGGGTCTTTCTCTGCTTTTGATTTTCATCACGTCCGTCTCCCAGGCGACCCCGGCCGAGGGTTAATGTTGTCCATTCCTTTATTGCTCTTGTTAGGCAGACAAAAGTTGATATAACCGCCCTTTCAGGAAATTTTGTTCATTAAGTCGAAGTAACACTAAGAATACTCTGACACGTATTAATGCCTTTAACTCCATTCTACAGATGATAAAAATGAAGCTAACTAGTGTGAACCCAGAGTCGTAAGCTGTAGCATGCAATGTGATTTATTTTTTTAAATGGTAGTCACGATTTCCTTTTTCACTTCCTGGTTCTCATCTGATAGTTGAATACCTATTAGGTTTTGAGATGTACGAAATAAAAAAAAAATTGATAAGGGTCACACTATGAAGCAGCTTAATGCTAAATACAGTTTAATTTAGTGTCAAAGGAGTTTTTATAACCTGACCATTTTATAATTACTATTGAAGTCTATATTTCCCTCTCCTGCCTCATAACTCGTCTCTTTCCCATTTCCAGATCTCAAGAACTTGAATGCACCCCAGCCATGCATTTTATAGATGCGCTTTTAAATGTTGGTGCTCTAAACAGACATTTACTGGATGCTTGGGAATAGAGAGGACATATACCCCAAAGAGCTGACCTAGTTAATTCTAAGACTGAAATCAGTCTTAACTCTCCCCCATTGTTTTAAAAGTTCATCTTTTTGTAATTTTTTATTTTTGAGATTACAATTTAATTAGAACGTTTCTTCATACCTTTTCTTTCCTCTAAACCTTTAAATTTACCCCTCCTGCTTTTATTCAAATTTGTGGCCACTTTTTTTTCCATTAACTATTATTGCCTGCATGTCAGTATTTGCATATACATGTATATTCCTAACTATAACCTGTTACGCCCTAATCATGCTGCTTGTTTATATGTGTTCAGGACTGACTGACTGGCACTGGACAAACAGTTGGTGTGTCCTTCCCTGGGGAGGACCACCTCTCCCATTCCCAGCTTTACCCTTGTCTGTAGTTCTTGGTGTAGGGGTGAGGCCTCATGGGTTTTTTTTCCCTGTCCAGTGTGGTATATACGTTGGTGTCATCCTTGTTCAGCTCATGTTTGGGCAGTCATATTGGCGGGACTTCACGGGTGTAGCTTCTGAGATCACTAGGAGTCACAATCTCACCGCAGACTCCTAAATCCTCTGGCTCTTACAATCTTTCCACCCCTTCTTCCGTCCTGTTCTCGGAACATTATTATGGCGTGGGAGTGTTTTGTAGATGTATCCACTGGGACTGGGCTACACAGCTCTGCAATTTGCTTGGTTGTGGGTTTCTGTAATGGTTTCTGTCTGCTGCAATGTGACGTTTCCTTGATGAGGGGCAAGGACTACCTTTATCTGTGGGTAAAAGGACATCTGTTTATAGATTGATGTTAAAGTTCCAAAGTTCTTAAATAATTAGTTAACTACTCGTTATTCCCGGGATGTCATCTGTTCTTACTGTTGAGAGCTTTGCTTCCTTTTAACTACCACCCAAAGCATAGTTCATAGAGAGCCAAATAAACTATGTGATATTAATACATGGAGATACTTACCCTCATACAGTTAAGCCAACTTTGAACTCAAGCATATATCAAGATGATAGATAACTAAAGCCCTTGGTATGTGTTGTCTGAGGTTTCTGTCCTGCCCGGTCCTGCAGTCATTCAGTCCCAAAGAATCACACAGAGGTCTAATTAGTTATAAATTGATTGGCCCATTAGCTCAGGGTTCTTATTAACACTTATATTAGCCCATAATTCTTGTCTGTGTTAGCCACATGGCTTGGTATCTTTTTTGGCAAGGTAGTCATATCTTGCTTCCTCTGAGGCTGGGTCACAACTGCAGAAAGAACTTTCCTCTTCCTAGAATTCTTGTTGTCCCAACCTCTACATTCTGCCTGGTTGCCTCACCTACACTTCCTGCCTGGCTACTGGCCAATCAGCATTTATTTAAAATATAAGTGACAGGGTACAGACCATTGTCCCACAGCAGGTATGCCTACAACACAAACCTATATGAAAGCCCCCACATCAACAATATACCCAAAGACTGTAGATGATAGGCACTATGCAGTAAGTATAATGACAAAACTGATTTTGTGTGCCCTCAAATCTTAAACATGTGCAAAAACTTGTATTCAATACCCAATATCACAGTATGACACAAAAGGTCATAGAAGTTAGTAGCACTAAAACCCATTATTAGTTAAATGAGCAGAGCACATCAGTAGAAAATTTGTAAAAACAGGAAAAAAATGATTTGCAGACATGATCATAATGTAGATCACTGTGGATTTTTTAATTACTTTCCACAAAGCTGAGAACTGAACCCAAGTCTTTTCTGCAAAAGCCACACGGGCTCTTAATGGAGGAACTCTCTCTCCATCTCTTCCACCTTGCGTTGTCATCGTTTGGGGGTGGCCATGTTTGAGACATGGTCTCACTATATAGCACTGGCTAGCATAGAACCAAGCTGGCCTAGAACTCACTGTGTAAACCGGGCAAGCTTAGGACGCAGAGATTCACCTGCCTCTGCTCCCAACCTTCTTTTTAAGATGAGGTCTCCCCTTGGCCTAGAGTCCCTGAGCTAAGGCTGGCAGGCTATCAAACATCAGGGATTGCCTGTCTCTGACTCCTCAACACTGGCATTACCAGCCTGCGCCTCTGCCTGGCTGTTGTGTCTCAGTTTTGTGGATGCAACTCTGGTTCTCAAGCTTGGAAGGCAAGCGCTGGACCTCAGCCAGTTTGTATTGTTTTTAAGTACACTATGTTTATGGTCACATGTTCATAGAAAACCCCTTATGGCCAGGCAATGGTGGTGCACGCCTTTAATCCCAGCACTTAGGAAGCAAAGGCAGGCGGATCTCTGTGAGTTCGAGGCCAACCTGGTCTACAAGAGCTAGTTCCAGAAAACTCCTTTTGGTTGGCAGTAGTGGTCTAAGGTAATTTTTTCTTTTTATACTTTCTCAGTTGTTGGGAATACAGTTTTCATAATAAAAAGTAAACATGAGTTATAGACCCATATATAATATTGAACACAGAGAGATTTCCTGAATTTTTGATACAATTATCAATTCATAGCCAATTAAGTGAATGAGTGACTCCACACAGGATGTAAATAGATGGTTCATCCCTTTCCTCAACCGAGATCTTCAAGAGATGTCCTCTAGTGTTAGTGACAAGATTGTCTGAGCACAAGAGATCTAGAAAGAGATAAAATGCTGCTTCAAAATAAAAGGCAATAGTGAAGAAAAGAGAGAATTATTAATATTATTATTATTATCATCATCATCATCATCCAAAGATAAATCTAGGACAAAGTGGTTAGCTGCTTTGTAAAAACCTATGTGTGAGAACTAAGGCTCTTTGCATGTGGAATCATGACATCATGAGTCCTGTCACTGACGGAATTGAAACAATTTTGCAAGCTATTCCCTGGCTTACAAGCAGTGGTGTATTACAGGCAATGGTATAGATGTCCCATTTAGGGCTCCGTACCCAGCTGACAGAGACCGTGTCTCTTCCACAGGTGTTGGGAAATCGTCACTCGTCCATCTTCTATGCCACAGTCAAGTGCTGGGAAATCCGTCGTGGACTGTGGGCTGCTCGGTGGATATCAGAGTATGTGTTCTTGTTTCTGTTTTTCACTAGGTGTATTAAACATGTCCTTCAAATCACGCTTAAATTGCAGGACTTAGTTAAGATTAAGTGATGATAATAGCTGGGATTGCTTCGGAGCCTACCGTGCGTCAGTACTTTACTGCCATTCCCTATTTACAGTAGGTCATGAGAGAGAAGAAAACAACCAAATTCTTCAACTCAACAAGCTAACTCAACACATGAACCCAGTGGTCTGATTGTACAGGCTTTTATTTTAATGACTATGGTTTGAGAATTCAGTTAATATTCTCCCTAAGCCTGTAGCTCTAAGACTGTAAACTTATGCCTAGAAGTGCATATCGACCAGTTCTCGCGGTGGATCTCTTGTGAAGGGGAAGCACTCTCCCCTGGTGCAAGGTTCGGCAGAGTATGGACAAGTGGGCACAACTCTTTCCCACGTTCTGGTTTATTGGGTCATCACACACACACACACACACACACACACACACACACATACACACACACTCCGTGGGACCTCCAGTGGGAAATTTAGTCATGCAGTCAATAGCCTTGGTTCCCACAGTCTAATCTCCGCTTCCTTCTCTGAGAGACATTAGAAGCCACCTCCCTGCAACTATCTTCCCTTTGGCAGGACATGCAGTCAGGAAAGGAGTCTTTCAAATAGACCGCATTGGGGGCTTCAGAGATAAAGGGACGTCCAAGCCCAGAGAATTGCCTTGTGTTGTGTGTGTACAAACAGAAGAGAGGAAGAGCAGCAGGAGAGGAAAAAAGAAACCGATGCAGAACAGTGCGTAGTGAGAGTTCATCTCACCCTCAGACGAGTCCCGCGCTTGCTGTGAGTCTTCTCTGAACCCTGCAGGGGACCCTGAGGCTGGCAGGCAGAGATCCCTGATTATTTGTAATTCTTGGAAAATGTGCTACTTTTAGAACCTTTTCCTTGCTTATGTGCAAGTGTGTACCACATGTGTGCAGTGCCTACATAGGCCAGAAGAAGGCATCGTTATCTCCTGGGACTGTTGGTACAAACAGTTGTGAGCTGCCATGTGGGTGCTGGGAATGGAACCCAGGTCCTCCAAAAGAGCAGTCAGTGCTCTTAATCACTGAGCAATTTTTCCAGTTCCATGTTCATATTTTTCTTCAAAAAAAAA